GGTCATTCTAAACATTCGTCACGCACAAACACCTCTAAAAAAGCTTGCTACAGATGTGAAAAATGCAGAAAATTTAACCCGATACAAATGTTTTATGATGGACGAAAGTTTAAGAGGCAGCGTAAACATAACTGACACAATTTGTATTTATTTTTTTAACGTTCAACAATTTTGGACGAGAATTTCAGACTTTAGTCTTTTAAATTAGTCTTAGTCCTGTCTCAAATGTACTTTTTAGTTATTATCATATTTAGTCAACCATGTCCTGCTTTTGTTTAGTCAAGTTATAGTTGACTAAATGCCTGCCTTTTAGTCAATGAAAACTTAAGTCACATTTTTCATCATGCTGTATAATGATTAAACTGATAAAAATGATTTTTACTCAAAAATTACAATTGTAATGATTGTTGTCATTTGAGAAATAAATTTTTGCATTTTAGGTATTGCACTTTCACCAATAAGCACAAATCAACACAATATCGACTCATACATATAGTTTATTTTACCTCACCAAATGTACAGATGTATTATAGGCTATTTATTATATAAATTAATATCAAAGACTTACGCACTCTCTCTGTCTACATTATGACAACTGGTAAAACAAACAAAAAATAATATTATAACAGTGAAATTCCTAATAGTAATTAGTACAATAACTCCAAATCACAATAATGTTTCTCTATTAAAAAAACAGCGGTTGAGTAAATGTATTTATTCAGCAACCACAATCGCAAACAATATAGTTGAGATCTTATGGCAGAACACAGACTGGCTGAACGACATATTCATTTAAGCCAAACATCTCACATGGAGATCGCTAAACTCCATCTTACTTGTTTGTTGGTGTTTCAGATCATCATTGGCGCTTCTGCAATGATGAGTGAATGAATGCGCATGGTTGCCAGATTGCAAAAATTAAGCAAATGTATCTCTTTAACAGAGAAGCTCTGATTTAGGGATTTTAACTCCTGATATCTGGCAACGGCATACATGAAAGCTTGCATATTAGGGGCGTGTACAGCAGTCGGCAATAATATTTTGCCCGCTTTTTTGATGAAAATAAAGGGATTTTGGTAAACGTTTTATTTTTTTAAATAAATTTTTGTCTCGTCTTTTATCGTCAACGATTTAAGGCCTTTCCACATTGAGTGCAAAAAAGCGAAACGAATATCGGATGCGATGATGCGTTGGAATAAAACAACAGATTTCTATGGATGCTTCCACATAGACCGCGAACATTCGCATACCGAAAATGTGAATGTGTTTTTTTCGAACCAGTCCAACGAATCTTTTCAGTTTCGCAAAGCGAAAACATGGGCCGTCTAATAAGATTTGAGCTAGGATCACGTGACCGGAGCAGGTGCTGTTGCACAAAAAGGCAAGTGTGGTGGCGCGGTTTCAAAAACCAGTGTAGACACACACAGAAGAAGAGTATCCCGGATAAGAGAAGAGAGTGGATGCTGAGTTCTTGTTATCGTTGGTATTTGAGAACAGATTTATTCTCACATGTTCTTTAAACACAATAACATTTTGATTAATTGTTCACTGAATTATGTGATTTGTAGAGCACCGTCCGTTTTCTTCCACATGCACGAGCGTTATGAGTCAGAGCGCGTTCACTCTTTTTCTACACATGAAATATGAAAGCAAATAGACATATGATTATGAAGATATATTTTCTGTATGTGTTTTGTATGCAGCTCATGGTCTGCGTATGCATGTGTCTGCATATTAATCAAAATCAACTATAGATCACAATTGGAAGTTATTACAAGCACTCGATGATGGTTTAAAGTGGGTAAGCAAACATTAATAATTACATATATTTTCAAGAGTAGCTTGATGCTAATTGTACTTCTAATTATATTTTAGGATGTAGCCTATTCTTGTAAGCATTATATATTATTATAGTTATAGTTATATAGTTATATGCATTATATAGTCATATGCATTATAGTTTGTTTCTGGTGTAGAACCTTGTTTATCTTAATTTAATGCTGTATATTGAGCAGCGGATTATGTTAAATCCATTTACGAGATGCATATCTGAGGAAAAATGCATTGTTGGTCGGCGCCACCTAGCGTGTAGGCATGAATTAGCAGAAGGCGAACAATCATTTCGTGTTTGGTGTGAAACCACCGTTCATCGGCGATTTGCCTCGCTTTTTCGCATCACAGTGTGGAAAGGCCTTTAGTCACAGTTATTGTTTATTGAAAAATATTGTCTTGTCTTGAGAAAAAAGCTCATCAACAAACATTTTTCCTCATAGTTTTCATTAAAGGGGTCATATGATGCTGCTAAAAAGAACATTATTTGGTGTATTTGGTGTAATGAAATGTGTTTATGCGGTTTAAAGTTCAAAAAACACATTATTTTCCACATACTGTACATTATTGCTTCTCCTCTATGCCCCGCCTTTCTCAAAATTAACACAATTTCATAGCCACTAGGTAAGCCACTTTGACCACATTTTCTCTAAAAGAACTATTCAGTTAGATGAGGCACATAACTTTTTGATGCATTTCCAAATTCGAAACAGGTATGTGATGCAATTATTTCTATTTTCCTCTGTGCAATCATTACTGGCATTATTCCCACCAGTGGCTCTCAAAGGCGCTGCTTCCATAACAAAAAAGCAGGTGTTGTGTAAGCATGACCTCAGCACCTGAGCGGTGCATCTGTATTCGAACATCTGGGTGTACATAGACACACTTTGCCGATGTAAGCGAGATGGGACGGACAGCTCACAGCTGCGAGGTCAGACGACCCTCGGCCTCTCTCGTTGATGTTCGGGGGCAGCTTCCTGCAGGGAATGCCTGTCATGTTGGTGGGCCGCTGTGGGCCCTGACAAACATGCCCTAGCTGTACCCTGACTGAGAGGAGCCATATGGTGACAGAGGCAGAGCGAACATGTCCCATGACCATGATCCCGTACCCTGATCATTACACCACAGGTCTGGGCTCAGACCTTCCCAGCAGTCGCATGTTCTAAACCCCCAGCCTCATTAGTGCTGGAAGAGGTACCGTAACCTCTGTTCGAGACAGGAGAGTGACCAAGCATGCAACGTGCCTCAGCGTGCCGGTGAAGAAAAGAGTGCAAAAAGGGTTCGCCTGATTGATTTACATCCCCAACTTTATTACAGGGGAGAATATGATGTAAAACACCACGACAGTGCCAGATCTAAGAGCAGCCTGATTAAGGTCGACATGTGCCGTCCTTACAAGGGGGAAATTTGGAAATAATGCGACAGTAATCCAGGCAGCCTGATGAAGATGAGCATGGCAGAAACCCAACTCTCTGGCGACCAGCAATTACACACTCCTTCTCTGGCACATCTTTTACATATGGAAAGTGCAACCCAAACAGAGTGAGGGCTGTTCGAAGGACAAGATAAAGGGATGCTGGGAAGAGAGAGGTCATACATCAAAGATGGAACGATATGCACACTTTGACCTTGCTGCATTAACTTCAAAATGAAATCTTAAGGCCTTGTTGCATTTCGTAAGAACAGCGTAACTTTCACTTAGCTTTCTGCAGAGCATCCAATAGCCTTTCTGTTGTGACCCTGTTTTCTTGGCATGTTGTCCCTGTTGGCCCAGGTGGCAAGTATTAAAACATACTATTGCTATTTGCGTCTTGTCCTACCAAGTCGAACCAAATGATTTATGCTGTGAACACAGCACACTGACCCATAGGACTAAATCAAGAAAAGTGATTATCTGATGTGGACAAGAAATCCCCACCCAATTGACTCGATCAAATTAGGTTTGATCAGAGTAGATTAACTAAAATGAAGGAGTAATGGGAAATGTGAAAGAGGTGTTTGGCATCTAAACTTCACTTGCTAGAAGCTCATTTCTGTTTGAGCAGCTGTTCGGGAAAGAAACAAAAAGTGGCAATTATTTAACTAAAATCATATGAACAAGAGTGCTGATATTCAGATCAACAGAATGATTTGTAATGAGATATTTATTTTATCCAAGAGTTCAATAAACAAGAAGTCATATTCATTAACTTACATGTTAGACAATACTACCAGTTACGTAATTAATTTTTTGCAGTCAAAGAAAATAGTTTAAAACAAAGCCAGGCCAGTATCAACCAACACGTGTCTCGCACGTGTCCTAACAAGACACTTAATCAGAGTTTTTGTCCTAACCATGCGTGACAGTGATACATGACGTGCAGCGGGGTGTTTTGCATAACACTGAAATGGTTGACTTTGTTCATAATTGCATAAGACTTTAACAACCATAATGAAAGTGACAATGGCTAATAATTCCTTTAAATATATAATATATATATATTTAAAGGAAACAAGAATGTTCAAATTGTGAACTTATTAGTGTAGTATGGGATGGATTGTGAATGGTTTTGTTGCATCTTATAGCCTAGTCAAATTGTTGGTCAAATTCATAATTTTGAGTACATTAGGGTTGGGCTGATAGATGATACCATCGTCCATCGCCAGTAGCCGACAGACATCACAAGTTGTTGAGCCGGCATCAAGATCATCCTCCCCCCGAGGTGGTACACCTCATGACAGTTATTGCAATCATTGCAATTCATTTGAACTTTGTGTCAGTACATCATAAATAGGATGAAGCAACAGTTTACTGTCGGGGATTTGCTGTGGTGCACCACGGCACATCCAATGTAGACAGCATCACTCATAGGCGGCAATTTATGTTTCTGCCGGTGGGTGCTCAACTCATTTTCACCGCTGTTTCCACGACTAAATAATAACTGGGATAAGTTATCATACACTGTAAACCAGAACAGTACTACTAACTTTTTTAAAGATTAAGAACACTGCAATTAAAGTCTGTTAAATCGTTGATGCAACTTATAACAATTACATTTTCTAAACAAGGAATTTAGTTTTATTTTTGTGTGGCTCAACAGTTTTGAGTAAACTCTTCTATTTAAATTGTTATTTTTAAGTTTACCGAGTGACATAAAGTGACGTCACCTCGTTGCTCTAACCGACGTTCAGAAGAATCCATTCAACATGGCGGAGACTCGCAAGCGACCGAGCAAACTTAATGGAACAATTTGTAAGTAAATCAAAACAACTGTGAAAATTTCTTATTTGCTTTTTGAGTGTTGTAAGAATATCATGGCAAAGGAATGTTTTCATTTTTGGGAAACGCTGTTTTTACACAGCGCTGTAAAGCACGGCATTTCCCTAGTGCTTTTGAATGCGTATTTTGAATGCTATTTTAGCGTCACTGCTTATAGTATTATGTTAACGTCAAAGAAGGGCACAAATGTTAATGTTAAGTGGCATTTTTTCAGTAAACGCAGTCCTAACGTACGCTTTGAATGTCGCTGCTATTAACTGCAATGTTTAGGGCTGCGTTTCTCAAAAGCATCGTGAGCTAAGTCGATTGTTGAGACCATTTGGTGGCAAATGTTTCTACGATCATCTTAGCCATACAATGCTTTTTTGGGAAATGCCCTGGTAAATGTGATTTTTATTTGGTCTGTTTTTAAACAACTAGCTGCTAAGAGTATTAATCCAAAATTAGGTTAAAGCTAATACACAGACATGAATTTTGCAATATATTAATTTTACAAAAAGCAATCTACAAACTTGTAGTAAACCTTTACAAACTTCCTTTAATTGCAGGCTGAGCTGGATGCTGAATACAAAAGAGTGAGCCTCAACACTTAAGGTAACTTCTATTCAGTTGAAGAGCAAGTTCTGTGATGGGTCCTCACATGACAGGACACAGACTCGGCTTTCTCTTTTCTACATCCATTGTTGGTTATACACTTACTTGTGCGTGTTTGTGGTTTTCTAGGTTTGTGCTGAGTTTCACCATATCAGAGAAAGTGGCACACACCAGCAAGATTTCACAGATGTTGCATGACATTCTAAATGTTTGATCTTCAGGTGAGTGCAAATTCACAAACACTAACTACCCGTTATTCTCATTACTCAGTAATTAATTATACTGGGTGTTAGTTTTTTATTAATTCATTTTTTCTTCTCTAGAGTATACTCCGTTGGATGGTGCGTTCGATAAATTTACTACACAAAATGTATCTTGCGAAATGTAAAATGCACAGACTGCAAATACATTTAGTAACCAAATAATACACACATTCTTTCTATGAGGGTTGTGTTTCACTAAATAAAATGATTTAATAAATACCTACAATTTACAATAAGCACTTATTTTCGCATACACAGGAAAAAGTTTGAGGGCGCACACATAATATCTGAGAGAGCGCAGGAGCCATGATCATTATATGGGAGAGCAAGCCTACTGCAAGCCGAGAGATTCGTGCTGGCACCCTCTCATATTACAATAATGCACTCTTGACATTTACCATTAAAATAACGCCAAAAACTGCCTCAAATGAACTATGAAAACGAGAATAAAGTCGTA